CTGCTGAAAAACAGCTTTACCAGCCAGGCTGTAGGAAAGTGAATTTGGTAGAGACTTGTTCTAACTGTGAATATCTTAAGGTAATTTCTTGAGGCATTTGTACAATGAGTTTCCCCAGGTCTACAACTCCTGACTACCTCCTTTCGTATTTCTGTTTCAGCTCTTCTGATTACTGAAAGAAAGTGGGGTTACTATCTCGTTCCTAAAAGTGGTTGGATTTGAGAACTTTATTATTATAATGGGAATCTTTACAGAAAGATATACTTTAATTCTGCATTTTTTGGGTGTGGGTTGGGTTTTTTTGTGATCTAATCCTACTCTACAGAAGTTAGTGGGAGTTTGCGGTTGATTTAAAAAGATAGAAGATCATGAATTGGGCAAAAAACGGGGATTTGGATTTTACTGAATCCATCACAAATTGAAAGCCTGGTATCTTGTGAAATCCCAGGACAAAAGGGTTTTACATTATGCCATTGGAGAACAGAGATCTGTACAAAACTCCCTTGGAGTCTTGGAGGTTATAAAGTGGTACAAATTCTGATTCTTGCAAAGATAAACTTGGTATGGTAGGATATGAAAGCAATACCAAGAGAAATATTGAGCTGACATTCCTCTAAAACGTGATACAAACAAACCCCATGGTAGTTTAGAATTTTAATTTTTCTGTTTTAGTATGTTTTATGTTGTTCTGAGACTGAGCCTTCACAGTTGTAGCACTCGGTGCTACTGCTTGCTTTGAGAGGAGTTTGCAGTGGAGGTTCTCACTGCTATTTGTGTCCAATGGTTTTGCCTACTCTAGTTGTACTTTGGTCTGGATACTCAAACTAGAGTGTCCCAAAGTAAATCAATACCAAAGCTGCCGTGTATTCTGTTTATACTACATGTAAGGTTATGATAATGCCAGGATTAAAGCTTTTAATTTCTGCAGCCACGGAATATTTTGTACATATTATCTTTTTCTGTCCTCACTTGTGTACCACTTGTTCCCTGTCTGTTAGAATCATGTCTAAAATTTGAAACCTTTAAGTAATTTTGGCAACCTGCCTTTAAAAATAAAGTAAGGACAGCTGGTCATAAAAAGGCTTTTACTTTCTTCTCACTTGCTTCACTTAAATTTTAAAATTTTAAAAGTTAAAAATCCTTAAGCTCTGGCCAAGATATGAACCATAAGATTCTGACTATGCGCCTCCCCCTCCATGCTCAATGGGCTGACTAGGTATGCTGTTTATTTTCTTTGACCTATTCTTGTTTTCTTTTTCTCTCTCTTCCTCTCTTTGACTTCCTATTCTAGGATGAGTCATCCATGTTCTTCCAGTTTGGCCCATCAATAGAACAACAAGCCTCTGTCATGCTCAACATCATGGAAGAATATGACTGGTACATCTTCTCCATTGTCACTACTTACTTCCCTGGTTACCAGGACTTTGTGAACAAGATCCGCAGTACCATTGAACACAGCTTTGTGGGTTGGGAACTGGAGGAGGTCCTTCTGTTGGACATGTCCCTGGACGATGGGGACTCAAAGATCCAGAACCAGCTCAAGAAGCTCCAAAGCCCTGTTATCCTCCTCTACTGCACAAAGGAAGAGGCCACCTACATTTTTGAGGTGGCCAACTCTGTGGGTCTGACAGGCTATGGTTACACGTGGATCGTGCCCAGCCTGGTGGCAGGGGATACAGACACAGTGCCATCCGAGTTCCCCACTGGGCTCATTTCTGTCTCATATGATGAATGGGACTACGGTCTTCCTGCCAGAGTGAGGGATGGAATAGCCATAATCACCACGGCTGCTTCTGATATGCTGTCTGAACACAGCTTCATCCCTGAGCCCAAGAGCAGCTGTTACAACACCCAGGAAAAAAGGATTTACCAGTCCAACATGCTCAACAGGTAAGGGAAGGGGCTGGGCAAGCCTTACAAAAAAGGGGTCAGAGAAGACCTCTGAGAACAGAATAATTCTGCTATGGGATGTGGTGCTCTGGGGCAGCGGGCAGTGTTGGCTAGGACCTGGGCAAGGGGAGGCGAGCTTGCTGATGTTGGGACCCACATTGCTGTGCGTCATCAGTGCCAGTACTGTCACCCCCTTAGAAAGCTTCCATACAACACAGGGGGCAAGCCAGCATGAGGAAAAGGAACAATGAAGGTAGAGTGCAAAAATTTGAGTGTGCTCCTCAATGCACAAAATTTTGCTTTTGTAACAGCCCTGTACTTCCTGAAGTGTCTTTGCATGAATGGGTCTGTAACTCTCAGGTGGGTTCTTGCTGCAAGCAGTGGGGAAGTTAGTATTAAAATCTAGAAGGCACCAGGTTCTGTTCCAGGCACCAGCAATATGTGAATGGGTGTCCTTTGTAGATGATGGTTGTGTAACCCACCTGGAATATTTTCGAGGCACCTGCTGTTTGAGGACCAAGTGTCCTTCTGCTGTCCAGAAGCCATGAATTACAGGAGAGAAGGAAGTGCAAAGAGATGTAAAGAATTAGAGCTGCAAAAAGAGTTAGAGTCAACAACTCTGCTCAGCTCCTGCTTTATATTGGAAACCTTTAAAGCCCTTGGGTGCCTTAAGGATTCAGTTTAACTCAAAGAGGAGGACATTTGCTATCATCTTGCTCATTGGCACCTCCTTGGCCATTGTCTGCTGTGTGTTTTGGGCCCCATTCTCTTTTCTGCACATTATGCAGAGAGCCTAGGCACATCCCTCAGAACTGTATGTTTTTCTAGACGTTAAAGGGCATTTAAAAATATGGAAAACCTATTTGAATAAACATCTTTTTTTGATCCAGATTCAGATTTTCTTAAGAAACAGTGCTAAGATGCCTGTTTAAGGTCATAGAGGAAGCCTGTGGTGGAACAGCCTCTAGAACAGCACTCTGATTACCAGATCTTCCTTTTTGTCCCAGCTGGAGTTTTAGTGTGTCTCTAAGCAACCCAGATAATTAGACATGGGATCTGCAATTAGCCAGATGCCCCCCGACCTGCTCAGCTGTCATTCTCCAATGTTTTACACATGAATTCCTTGGGCAGGTTGGTCCCTTTGGGGTTAGGACAAGGGGAATCCAGGCAGTAGCTGTTAGGAGAGGTGGCCTCACAGAGCTCAGCATCATTGCTTATTTGTCATGATGAATCAGGGGACAGTATAACTGAGATAGATTGGTTTGCGTGCTGTGACCTCTCACTGTCAACTGTGCTAGGCAGATAGAGGGACTGGTGGACAAGAAGGTGGACTTTGCTTTGCCTGAAAGTTGAAGACTGAAAGAAAAGTCTCTTCTTTGACTCATTATATTATCCATAATGCTCTCTGCTATTTTTTCTTTGTCTCTATATGTTGGCATATTACTTGCCTTTATGTCCTCTTTCCTATACTGCTTTTTGCTGTCTGCAAGACTCAGAATCACCAAAGGTGCCCAAAGCTTTCACCAGTTTCCTTCCCAGATAGGCTTAGGGGTAGGGGGTGTTTTCTGCTGCTCTTTTGAGTCATCTCTGGAATGATTAAGCAGGTAATATATATTTAATATATACAAAGTTACCAGAAGCAGAATCAAGGCAGGATCAATCCACCTTCCCAAAAGAATGGGGATTTTGGGGACATTGGGGGGGAGGAGGAGGAAGCACAATACAAATATGTATTGGTTCTTTTCACCAGTTATATAGAAAACAAAATGTTGTCCCCTGCTATGTGATGCAGCATTCTGCAGAGACTTCCTGCTAATTAGTTCTATCGACACTGTATTAGCCTATGCATAACAATATACCCATACAGCTACGCTGTTTCAAGGACCCAGCATAATCTCTCTGCATAGCGCTTCTTTGCATTGCATAGAAGTCGCCAGCTCAGAGACTCTCGAGTGTCTCGATATGACAGTATTGTTGTGCAGTGTAGATATGCCCTGAAGCCTGGGCACCCCACATGAAAGTAGTTCTTGTCACTTTTGAAGATACTAGCTTTCTTCTCATCTTCACGGCCCAAATCATGCTGTTCCTTCTCCCTTGTCTGCTTTGGGTACAACATTCACAGGAATGACTGCAGATATATGTAGATATACCCAGCTTAGTTTGCTACATCGGTCTCACTGAGAAGCAGAGTCAATTAGTTCATGCCAAGTTCCGTTCTGCCACTGCCTAAATTGCTGCAGGCACCTGAGCTAGCTCAGAAATAATTAAACTGTGCTGCAGTTGCTTCTGTGACCACGGTGCAAATCTTCACTTTGCCTTGCATGGAGCTGGCCTGTGCTCTGCCAGTCTGAGAGTACTACTCGCCCCCCCCCGCCAAATATTTCCACCCTCTCTGAACTTCGGAGTTAGATGGTTAAAAAGTCTTACTTCAGTGAGCTGGGTGCTTAGATTTCTGTTTAAGTGAAATTACTTTCAGGTATCTTTTGATTTATAAAAGCTAGTGGTGTCCAAAATAAGCCATTACTTTTAGAAATACAGAAGTTCAATAGAAATGTGGTAGCTTCAAGCTCAGCCTCACAGTCTGGAATCTGAGCAGGGGGAAAGGTAGAGATAGGGACAAGATGTGGAAAGAAGCAGATATGAATATATGACTTCACCTCACTGAACCAAAAGCTATGGAGATTAATGGCTGCAATCTGTGTTCATAACTTCAAGTCCAATTGAACTCGCTTAAATTTACTTTGTGCTAAGCTTTACACTTCTCCTGAAATGCTTTGTGTATCTCGGTTATTACAGATTTGGCAGACCTGGCTACTTCATAACTTCCCTAACCCCTTCTACCTACTAAGATCCCACAGCACTTGTGTGTTGTGTGCACCAGGCAACAGCAATACCTGCATGCCTAGGACACTGTCTGGCTCACTTTGGACTGGACTGAAGGTTCTGGAAAAGTAATTTTAGTCTGACCCTGGCCCTGGTAATACTATATTAAGCCATCTGCAACTTACAGTTCCCCCTCCGCATGCCTACACAGAATAGAGAAATGTATGTACGTGGGCTTGATGTCTGGGGAGAATGCAAAGTGTATGTGACCTCAGATAATACATCACTATGTAGCTGGCATTTCAGAAACTCTTAAAGCCAATCCAAAGTGGTCCAATTTGCTTCAAATCCATAGCTGGGAGGCAGTGTGATAAAGGAATTTTCCCATGTTGTTCTTTGGAGAGTGACACATCGAACTAAAAAAATGTGTAATTTAGTTCAGCCGGGGTACATTATACGCTAAGACTGTGAATTAGTCATTTCCCAAGATCTGCCTTTGAACTTTGACCATTTCTTACTTTTTTTTCTTTCCCTTTTCTGAAAGTGCAGTAGTTCTGAACGCAGCTAAAATCAATGGTCTTGCTCAGTGTGGTCTCAGCTGGTGGTTGGTCTGGGTGTATAATGGAGTAAGGAGGAAATGGACTGAATGTTACTCAGATTAAAAAAGAAAGCTCAGTTTTTCCATGCCTTTCCCCCTTCTTACATTGACACTTGTTCATTTTTGCAAGAGCTCATACAAAGTTTTGTTTGAAGTATGGCTGCAAGCACAAAAAGAAACAAGACGAACTGTTATCTAAATGCCATTTCTTTCCAATGTAGGTGTTTGGTCTGCATCTTCTCTTATTAATAACGGTCTCACAGCAACTGTTTCTTTCCTGTCTTGAAACCATTTCTCCTTTGTGTTAGACTGGAACTGCAGAAGTATGATCACGACCATTGAACATTGCAGATTTTGTCCTAGAAATGAGCCCACTGGTGAGATAACTCCATTAACTAGTAGGAAAAAGATACTCTGAAAAAAGTTTGTTTTACAGGAATTTTTAGTCTTCTTTTTGAATGATTCTTGAGGAGACTTTTTTGTAGTGAGGGATTTATCTCAATTTATGCTGATAATAGGTTTAGGTGATCATTTGGAGTCCAAATATCCAAATGCTGTTTTCCAGTTCAATTACACTTTTTAATTATTTGCTTTGTTTGTAATAATTACCTCTTCAATTATTCCTTCATTATCCCAGAAAGAAATCTGGTTTGAATATTCCAGTCTATCAAGTTTATAGTTATCTCAATGGCCGGGCTTCTTCTGGGCACCAAGCAAACCACTGCACTCTCTGCTTTCCTCTACCAGATGAGAAGAGTACAAAAGTTGGGAAGGAGTTTCTAGCAGGGTTTTCTTCTGGAGAGGTGCTCAAATATGGAGTTCTTCCCTCTTGGCTCTTCCAAGGAGAGCTGCTAACTTTCTAGGCATTCCGCAAAGCTTGACTATTCTCCCTCCACATGGCTGCTGAGGAGTGAGTGGGCAGAGGTGGATATGTTTGTAGGCAGCCTTCTTCTTATTTCGTTATTTAAATTGATGGGACAGATTTCCTTGAGCTCGGTATTGGTGCTTCTCATTACATTTTAGAAATGGGAAGAAATAACTAAATGACAGAAGCATTCTTGGGAGTGGAATTCAGGGATGAGTCATGAGAAAAGAATATGATTTCTGACACATGTATGAGGAATAGAAGCTCAGCCGTTTTCTATGGATATTCACAGTTGTTGGGCTACATAAGCCGTGTTTTTATTATAGCCTTCAATGAAACCTGGATTTTCCTACTGGTTGTCATGACTGCTTGTGAATGCTGGGCCATAACTACTAGTTTGTTGTTGTAGGGTTACTAATGAGTTCTCCACTGATTGGCTTTAATAGTCTCTCATTTAACACCAGGCTGCACACACCAGATTTCATTTTAATAAAAAGTGCAGTGAAGCATTTGCTTTGGAATGAAAATACAAATGTGGAATTATACTGCCTTTGCAAAGAAATACATTAAGAGGGGAACAAAAGTAGGTTCAATTCTGCACCTCCAGTTCCTCAAATATGAAAACAGCTGGTAAGCTAGCTCAGTGCATTTTTTGGACATGATACTTCCACTTTGGGGGAAATAGTAACTTTCATCTAGAGCTTTCTACGCCAA